CCTGGCAGGAGCTAAAACATCCAAGGGTTAATTGTTAACTTCTCCAGTCTGTTTTGTATTTTCAAAGACAATCAGTTGCCTGGCTTAGCCAGTTTTTATACAGTTTCAGCCCTTGTTTGCTGTTTTTCATGAAGACTTTTTCTGTGTGGCCTCCTGTGTGTCTGACAGAGCATCTGCTGCTTCTGAGACCAGGATGCATCTTTTAGAATACAGATCTTTGATTTTGTGATCTTGTGTTAAGTGTTTTAGTAGGAGGAAAATATGCCTTGGTATAACAACACCTGCTCCTGTGCTTTTATGCTATTTTATAGCCAAACTTTTTTAGTCTAGACAGATTCTTCTTTTTTTCTATTTAAAAAGATAAAATGATTTGTGAACAAACCAGGCTGCTGATGTTCCTGTGTAGATATCATTCAGAAATTCAGATTTTTCAGGTTCACTTCAGTGTGTTTCAGTTGTACCTGATGTGCTTCTTGAACTTCCAGAAGTGTTTTCACTTGGCTGACACCAGGGGGAAAAGGAATGGGCAGGGATTCTCATGGATGTGGAGGTTTCAGCTCTGTGTTGTGCCTGCTCAGGATCCCTCCTGCCACCAGCTTCAAAGTGAGATCCTGCAGGTCCTTGCTCCAGAGACAGGAATAGGACAGAGTGAAAAGGTGGGAAATGGGGTTTGTCCTTCTATCACAGGTGTGGTATTTATGTATCTCTTCAGGTATTGAAATCACTCCAAGCCCAGCTTCACTGTCTCACTGTTCCATGGAATTAAAACAAAGGTAAAAAACCCAACAAAAACCTGTGTTATCCAGCAGGCTTATGGATTTTTGAAATTCCAGAAGTCCGGGTTGGATTCTCTGTGATGTTTCTATTTTTTAAATGATTTCATTTCTACCCCAGTGTAGAAGTTGCTGCAAGTAGGAGTAAATGGAAAACCTTCAGAAACAATTTTATAATGAGAATCAAGTGTGATGGTGTTGATGTATAAATGTGTAAAATGTGGAACAACATTCCAGCACTTTCCATTGTGTAAAGACACTTCAAATAAAACAATGCAGTGCCATTCACACTTGGGATCTGGAGTGTTCCATCAGGACAAGGAAGACATTGAGATCTGTGATGGTGGTGTCTGCTTGAATGTTCTCCTGGGCAGAAGGGATGGGGGTGGCAGGGACCTATGAGAGGGATTTGGGAACCTTGGGTGGGAAGGAGAATTCAAACAGGCTCCAAATCTTTAATGAGGCCATTGATCAATATCAGAAGTGATTTTCTCCACTCCAGGGTGAGAGGCTGCCTTGGCAAATGAAGCTGGAGTTTGCTTTATTCCTCCATGCCATGATTCAGTGCCCCCCACCAGAACTTTCTCCCAATCACTGACCTGCTGGTGAGGGCTATTTTTAGCAGCAAGCTTGCACAGAGGCACCAACTCAGCCCTTTCTGAGCTTGCACTTTGTATAAATAAATACCCCAAATTCCTTTAAAACGTCCTCCTTGAGCAGCAGCTGAACATGTGCTGTTTCTTTGTGTTCTGGAGTTATGGGAGTGCTTTGGTTCTATAATAACTGAGAACCTGTGATTGCAGCTCCTCATTCTGCCTTGTTCCCTGTGCATAAAATCCCAATTGCTTCTGAAAGGTTTAATTCCCATTTTTGTCTGGGTTTGGATTAGGGATACTTTTGAGCCCAGAACAGAAGGCTGGTTTGTGAATTTTACTGGGTTTTGTTTATTTGCTCCACTCTCAGTGTAAAACCTGCTAGGAGAGAATCTTGGTGTGGAAAGAGACCCCAGCCAAGCTTCATCTCCTTGGAGAAAATGCAGAGCAAGATAAAAGAGTTCTCCTGCTGCAGGTACTGACCCTGAGATGTGAGTGAGGGTGACACAGCTGTCCCTGCCAGCACTCACAGCTCCAGGGAGGGTCCCAGGGGCTGACTGCTCCATGAAACAGGAGCAGGGCCTGGAGAGTAGAAAACACTGGGTTTGGGATGTTACCTAATGTGTTCAAATCCTGCTCTGAACCAGGCTCTGTACTGGAACACCTTGGCATGCTCAGGCTTGCAGAGGGAATGTTTGATTCCCCTGCTGAAGAAACATATTCCAACCATCAGCAGCATCGGGTGAGGCAGTGGGAGAGACACTCTGGCAGCCTGCTTTGTTCTTACATAAAACATAAAAATAACCAATTCCTGTCCTCTGTGGCTCTGTGTTGGGATCACAGGCACAGGACAGGACTGGGAGGGCAGCCAGGCTGAGCTGTGCTCCTGGTGGGACAGGTCACCTCAGCTCCTTCATCCCTCCCAGGGGGTCTGGTAATTATTTTTGAGACTGTGGGTGCATGGAGGGCCTGGTTTCACAATTCAGTTCCAAACTCAATCACAATGAATGTTTAGCTGGTTTTGGTATCTGCTGTGATCTCTGTTTCCTCTTGGTTCTCACTGAGACACTCCAGCTCTGTGTGCCCTGCCAGGGGCAGGCAAAGTGCAGATTAACCAGCAGAGCCGTTCCAGGAGGAGTCCAAACCTGCTCCATGGTAAATTCACTGAGACTCCACACCTTGGAAGGCTGTGTCACTTCCTGGGGGTTGGTAATGCTGTAGTAAGCCTGGAGTTAATGCAGAGTTATGTTTTATCCTTTGATGTCCATTGACTTCATCAGGATTTTATGGAGCATCCCAGAGTCTCCTTTGGTCCTCCTTTAATGGGATAAGCTCAGGGTTGGTGCCACAAACTGGGTCACTGATGGTGACAGCAGAGCTTTATAGTGACAGTGTAGAAACATTTATTTATCCATTTAACAGTGTATAAACCTGGTGAGCGCCTCTAGCTCGTAGTAAAGGGCTACAAATTTAGGACTGGTGAGGGACAAACCCTTGGGAAAGTCCCACCCTCCCTCTCTGCTGTCACAGAGGCTTTGGGAACTCACATTTGCTTTTATTTGGGCTGCTGGCTGGTCACAGGGGCTGCTGCCTCCCTTCCTGTACTACTTAAATCGAGTTATTAATTATTTTTATTAACTTCCATTCATACCTCTTCCCAGTTATGGCTGCTGACTGCTGAAAGAAGTCCAGAGATACAGCCCAGGGAAGGTTTGTGGCTGGAAACCCCTCCTGTTCCCAGGAGAGCCTCGTGCTCCTGCTTGTTTATGCAGGGTGGGACAGTCACTGTAAGGAAATCAATCAAGGGAAATTTATTCCCTTGGAAAGATGATTGGTGAGTAATCCCTGCTGGGATTTCAGTCTGGTTTTAAGGAGCTGCATGGGCTTCAGTGGGATTGAGGTGGAAGTGACTAACGTGGGTCTTTGTAGGTGTACAAATCATTTGCTAAATAATTGGACCTGGAAACTCTGGTTTCTGGTGGAAAAGCCTCTGTGGTTGTGTTCTGTGGGTTCTGTGTGGAAATCAGCCTATGGTGGACACCAAAGTGAAGCATGAGCTGTGTTAAGGGCACAAATGTTTCTGGAGGAGGAAAGGGAGAGCTGCAAGGTAAGGAAGGACCTCATTTTTCATCCCAACTGGACTCTGGTCTTCCCAAGAAATCCACTGGAAATGTTTATGGACCACCAGGACCCCCCTGTTGCTGCCTTCCATAGGGAGGTGGGATTCTGTGGGGAGCAGGTTTTCTCCTGTTTCAGGTTGCATTCTAAGGGAGGTGAGTGATGTGGCTCTGGCTGCAGCTGAGATGGAGAATTGGGGGAAACATCTCCTGCATGGCAGCTTGACAACCCTAAACCACGAATGGAGCCTGAATGAGGGCTGTGGCTTGTTCCTGTGGTTTCCTGGTTTCCCTTGGGAGCAGCGTCAGGCCCAGGCAGGGAACAGATTCCTTTTTAAAGTGTGATGTCCACAGAAAAAATCCAGACAGGGACTGTGATCACACTTCTCTGGAGGATAAAGCCAACGAAGCACAAGTTAAAGGCGAGGATTCCTTTCCAGTTTGATCCTTTTGATTCCACTGACGAGTGGACAAAACCACTCATTCTGTCTCTGGGCTGGATGTGCCTGGGGATCCCAAAGTGCTTGGGAGACCTTTGGGCATGCGAGAGCCGCAGAAACCGGGCTGTCCCCAAAGCCTGGGAACTCCCGCTGTGACACGGGGGTTTATCCCAGACCCCTCCATCCCCTCGGCCGCTGCCCGGCGGGATCGGGGGCACCGCAGCCCCGCACGGGCCCGGGGAGGCGGCGCCGGGGGCCGGGCCGGGCTGGGCGGCCCCGGGGAGGCACCTGCGGCTGCGGGGCTGTGCCGGGGCTGCCTCCGGCCGCAGCGGCACCGGGCTCCCCGCGGCAGGGCCGGGCTGGGCTGGGCTGGGCAGCTCCGCGCTGGGGAAGGGGCGGGAGCGGCGGCGGGGGCAGCCCCGCAGCCCCGGCGGGCGGACGGTGCCGGAGCCGCTGCGGCAGCGCCGGAGCCCCGAGCCCGCAGCATCCTCCGTGAGTAGCGCCGGCTGAGGGTCGGGTGGAGGAACCGCTCTGAATGGGGATAACTGGAACCTTTCTGCTCTAAAACTGTCACTTTCTGCCCTAAAACTCTCTTCCTTTCTGCCCCAAAGCTCCGCTCCTTTCCGCCCCGTTCCAAGCGCTGGTGGGAGCGCGGTTACTCCGGGTTTGTGTGCGAGGCAGTGTGGATGTACCACGGGAAACGCGAGTTCTTTATCGGTGCCTCCAAACCAGAGGGAAATAGAGAGCAGATGTCCTCGCACGTTTTTCTGTTCAGCTGCTGCTCGAGCAGTTGTTCATTAATCGGGAGCCCGCAAGGGACGGCACTGGGACTGCTCTGGCGCGGTTTCCTCCCCGCAGGAAGGGAAGCCCGCATGGCTGTTGAAAGCTCATTCCATCGCCGGCGGTGTCCTTTCATCGCTGGGGACGCTGAATCTCTTGTCCTGACTTATTCAGCCCTGGCACTATAAATATGGGTTTGTCGGTGGTTATTTGTTTGTGGTTTTGGGTGGGTTTTTTTGTTCTATACTTTATTTTCTCCAATCTGCTGAGCAGCGTGCTGGAAAGAGCTGGCAGAGTAATATTTAACAGGAAAAGAACTCGAAAGCTCAGAGCATTGTGTTACAGTTCACTGAGTGTCTCCAGCACAGAACAAAACTACACTGCTTGCATTATTTGGGAACACACTGAAGCTGCTGACAGGTTTAAATGGTGATTTCTGGTTTTTCCTGGTAATTAATGTATTTAATGCCCCAGGAAGTCCTTGCTAAGGGAAGCGTAGCTTTTTGTAAACAGCTTTCACTGATGGGGTGCATTGTGCTGGGTGGCAGGAGGGGTTGATTTAGTGATTACAAACCAGGAGACAAAGGCAGAGCAGAGACCAGTGACTTCAGGGTCTGACAGAGTTATTGTCCCTCTGTGGGTGCCAGACTGGGGCACTGAGGATTTGCCAAGGGGTTCTGGTGGAGAACAGGCTGCGAGTGTGAGGTGTCAGCTGCTGTGAGTGTCCTCAGGGCTCTGCACAGGGAAGGTGCCTCACTGATTCAACAATAGGCAAGAAATCCTGGGGCTGCCTCAGCTGCTGTGAGCACTGAGAGGAGCTGCATTTCTGTGTGGAGCCTTTGTACTGTGTACAGAATTCTTTACATACAGAAGCACAGAACAGGTTGGGTTTGAAAAGATCTTAAAGCCCCTCCAGTGCCACCCCTGCCATGGCAGGGACACCTCCACTGTCCCAGGCTGCTCCAAGCCCCAGTGTCCAACCTGGCCTTGGGCACTGCCAGGGATCCATTGGCAGCCCCAGCTGCTCTGGGTACCCTGTGCCAGGGCCTCATCACCCTCACAAGGAAGAAGTTTTTCCCAATATCCCATCCATCCCTGCCCTCTGGCAGTGGGAAGCCATTCCCCCTTGTGCTGCCTGCATGAAAAGCCCCTCTTCCTCCTTTTTCTATGACCCTTTAGTTGCTGGCTTTAAAGAAAATCTAATTGGGCAATGTGCAGTTCACAGTCTGGTTTAGACACTGCTCTGGGCGAGTCAGTGACAGAAGTCTATCAAGTTTATATTTCCAGGCATGGCTTTAGAAATGAGGGTGCTCCTTTTGGGGGTCCTGTTGTCACTTCTTGTCACCTGTGGGAGCTGAGGGGTTTTGGTGCCTCTCATGATCTAAGCCAGGCAGGTAAAATTACTGATGGGTTTTTAGTTGGTGCTACTGCCCAGAGCTGCCTGCAGTTTGTGCCCCTCTGTCTTGGCAAGGCAATGAACTGCTTTTAATGTGTGTTTTAGCAGCAGCTCAGCCTGGGCAGCTCCTGCCAGAACCTGAGAAAATGCTCATATAAAGGTGCTGCCCTGACATGGGGGCACTCAGGCTCACACAGGGAGGGTTGTTTGCCTCAGGCCACTTTCAACCTGGGCTTTTCTTTCCTCCTTCCTCCCTTTCTGGAGCCTCTCAAGGTAAACCCAGGCACGTTCAGGTCTCACTGAAGGACATAATGTTTTCATTACTCCCTGAAATCACAGCTTGCCTCAATCCCTGGCGGAGTTCCCGTGGTGCTGGGAAGGTGAGGGCAGGAACAGCTCCATGCAAACCCCACCTTTTCCCAGGTGAAATCTGTGTCCTCCTAACCAGCACCTGCCTTCCCTGGCAGGGAGCTGCCTCTCCAAGTCCAGCCACCCTGGAAAAGCCCTCAGACAATCCCCTCTGTTCCCTGTGGCCCCTCTGCTGTAAGTGCCAGGTGCTGCTGACAGGTGAGCTCTGATCCCCATCTCCTCACAAACAAACCCAGCCCAGCAGGGCAGGGGCAGCAGAAGGGAGGCTTTGGAAAAGGGGGCACTGCTCCCCCTTGCCAGAACAACCCATCCCCTGTATCTGCCAAGGTGTTTGAAATGGAAACGTGCCCAAAGCTGAACTTTATGGAAACATTTCCAGCTCCATAACGTGGGGATGCAAAAATAACCAGCAGTGTGGAGAGTGAGAGTGAATGAGAGGCTCTGAGAGGCCAGGCAGGTGTGTGTGCACAGGGGGAAGTGCAGCCCTGTGTCATGGACAAAGAATGTCCTGTGATTACTGTATCAAAGTCCACTTCTTCTCCCCTGCTGAATGGCTTTTATCCAGCACTCCTGATTTTCCAAACGTTTTTCTGAACAGAGTAGAACCCAGGCTGAAAATCAGTAGGTTCCCATGGATTTTGCTGGGCTTTTCTGGGTCTTTCTTGCAGCAGAGGCTTGGTCAGGTGTAACCTGCTGATTCACAGGGCAGGAATGGAGCTGGGACTCCAGGTAAGAGCAGGACTGCCACCTTCCACCCTGGCTGGAGACACTGACCTTGCAGCTCACAAAGCAGAAAAATCCCAACCTGCTGCACTTTTCAAACTGCATCTCAATAGGTGCAGCCTGCTGGATAAATTAATCCCTTTCATAAACAGGTGGTTTCACTACGACAATAAAAATTCTTTGGGTCTGGGTGACTCATGCACAAACAGCTCCCCATTCCCAAGGTGGTTTGAGAGGGAAGGTGGAAGGATGAATATTTCACGGCTTAATATTAAAATATTCAGCCTTATTTATTTGGAGTTTTTATTTTGGTAGCCAGAGGAGGAAAAAAGCCTTCTGTAGGCCTGGCATTTGCAGTGCCCAAGTCAGGAGCCACAGGGTGAGAGCTGGATGTGGCTGTTTCTGAATTATGCCCAGTCAGAACACTTGCTCAGCTTCTCATGAAGAGTCTCTTGAGCCTCTGCTGCCACAGGTTAAACCCTTTTCCATATGGGAGAGTGGGTGAGGAGACAGGAAGAGCTGTCTCTGAGCTCTGGGGCTCCCAGGTCCCTCTGAGGTGTGTGTGAGCTCTGTGCTGAACAATAGGGCTGGGCAGAGCCTAAACACAAAATATTTCAGCTGATGCTCATGTTGCTGAATTAACTTGGCCTTGGCTGAACAAAGGAATCATTCACTCACAGGAGAATGACCCAGTTACAGGCTTGTGGCAAAGTTATTTTGGTTTTTCGATTAAAAGAAGAAAACCAAACTTTTAACTTGAGAGGATTGGAGTATTTGAAGAGTGGCCCTTGCAGTTCTGATCCTGCATCCCAGTCAGACACCAACGAACCACTTCCCTTCCTGCTGCCTCCTGATCCCTCTCATTCCTCACTGACCTGCTCTGCAGGTTTTTAATTGGTATTAATTTTTATTACCAACTGATTTCCACTGAATTATTTCTGGCTATTGTTTATCTTGTGCTGTGTGAAATTGAAGTTACCATGCCACAATATCCCAGGGGAGCACCAGAGCCCTGCCTGGCTGTACTGAGCAGCATCTGGAGTGGGAATTCAGTTCCATATCAAGTGCTGAAGGATAATTTACTTTTCAAGGGGCAGTTGAGTGTCCCAGCTCTGAGACTGGGAGCTGAGCTGGTTCCAGAGGGCTCTTTGAAGTGCTGCTCACACCCCTCTTGGCCTGAAGGAGCCCTTTAATGGCTCGGGTTTCCAGGGACACTTGGAAAACCCTTTTAAAACCAGCAAACACCCCTGCTGCTCTTTCCAGATCCACAGTTCTACCCACCAAAACACAGGCATGTTTTCAGCTGTGCCCTTGGAAGTTCATCCACTCCAATAACAGACCTGAGCTGACACTGGGCTGAACTCAGCCTCCTGCCACAGCCACGTTGCAATATCCCTGTTCAGGGGCTGCTGTTTGTCCTGACACTTTTGGAGCTCCAAGTGAAGGAGCTAAATGGTTTTTCTTCTCCATGTTAGATGAATGAAGCTCCTTCAAATTCTATTTTATAATAGAGTTTTTAAACCTTTCTGTGATGAGTTTTTCCCTTCCCTCAAGACATTGCTGAATTCTGGATGCAGAAACCTCCACACTCATTTGCTCAGTGCTCTGAATCTCAACCAGAGGTGACAATCCAAAATCCCAAAGCATTTAAGATACATTATTGTGTTTATATCTTATTTTTTTCTATTACCACTGACCAGGGGATATTTTGAGGCAAATTGCCCAAGACTGTACCAAAGTTTCCATCATACCCATTTTGAATTTCCATTCCTTCAGCAGGGCCAAGTTTCCAGCGCAATGAAAATATGAAGAACTCCAGTTCAGTGAGCCTTTGGTGGGCAGTTGCCTAATTAGCAGTGTGAAATTTGGGTTAAGATTTTAGGAATTCACTCCTCTTTCCCCTCTGCAGCTGACCCAAGATGACGACGGCCACGCCACTGACCAATAACACTCAGCTCTCAGTGAATGTGACCACAAAGTCCCAAGAACACAATCTCTATCAAAGTAAGGCAAGGACTGGGGTGGTGGCTCTTTTTGGTTTTAAGTGGACTTTGAACTTATCAAACTTCAAACACTCCAGTGACAACTTTGCAAATATGGCTTTTTTCCCTTCCTGCTTCTCTCCCAGGCTCTGGAGCAATAGTTGCTGCCATCGTGGTGGGGGTGATCGTTATTTTCACAGTGGTTCTGCTCATCCTGAAAACATACAACAGGTACGTGACCAAGCCAAAGCAGCATGGGCCAAAGCCCCTGCTCTCAGCTCACAGAGCGTTTCAGGGCTTGCTGCTGAAAATTTCCAGGAGAATCTAAGCATTAAAGTGCTGATTGCAGTGAATCTCACTGTCAGGGCTCTGTGGCTGGATCTTAGGAAGCACAAAGAGCTCCCTGATGGGGGCTGCATGGTGGGAGCTGTTTTTAGGGGTTCCTGGTGGTGCAGGGAAGGTGTGAGTGTGCACCCAGCTTGGTCCCTCACTTTTCAGAGCTCACATGCCCTGGGAGCACTTATGGTACCTTTGGGATAAATCCCGGCTTGGTTTGACTGTGTTGTGTGGGAACCTCCCCAAAACTTCCCCTGGGAGAGGAGAGCCCAGCCCAGGGGCCAATTCCCCTTTTACCTTTGCCAGGCGCATGCGAGTGCGGCGGGAGCTGGAACCCAAGGGCTCCAAGCTGGCAGTGCCACCTCCTGTGGGGCACAGCAGCCACGGCCTGGCCCAGCAGCCCTCGGTGACCTTCATCCCCGTGGACATCCACCTGCAGAGCAGGTAACCAGGAGCTCCCTGCCAGAGAAGAGATGGAATTGTCACCCCATGGAGCTGGGACTGCCCTGGGAGCAGCAGCCAGCTGGTGTTCCCTCTGTGAAGCGACACAAACCCTGGTTCCCTGCTTTGGCAGGAAAAACCAGAGGTCTGGACACTTCTGCTGTGACTGAAATGACAGATGGAGGTTTAGGATGGCAGCAAGGCCTCCTCTGGGTCTGGATAAACCAGGAAGAGAAGATGCCCAGGTTTTGAGGAGCTTTTGCTCCCTCAGGAACTCTGCACCCTCTGTGTTCTGCTGAGGAACTGGAGGGAAAGTCTGGACATGCCCCAAACCCAGCTGGGACCTGAGTTTGTTATGAGTTACATGCAAGAGGTTGGTGGATTATTTTATACCTGATGGGTACTACAGGAGGTATCAAAATTGTATTTATCTTTACTCATATTTCAAGTTTCTAATCTCAAATATGTACAGGTTCTTATTTTCAAGTATTTTAAACTGTTTCTATAAACTCTGTAACTCTCCATTTCTGAAGGAACTTGGTGTCTGATGGGTTTAACTCTCAATCCAGGTGCATGGCTGGAGCTGTGTTAGAATGCTCTGTCATACACAAAATCTGAGTTCTTTAACTGACAAAAATAAGCATGGAAATAGAAAAACCAGCTTGGACAGAGCAGGGGAGGCTCAGTGCAGCCTCAATTGCCACTCACCCTGCAAGGCTTTGTTCCCTGGTGCAGCCCAACTATTTTTAGCCATTTTTTATTCTCAAACCAACCCGAAGCGAGGCTGTTTTGTGAGTGTGAGGGCTGTGGGTGTGCAGCAGTGGCACAAAGGAATTCCCAGGGACACTGAGAGCCCACGGGGTGGGAACACAGAGCACCATTGTCACACACTCACTGCCAGATTGTCTGGGATTTTATAGTTTGTACTTTTTTCCAATAAGCTTGGATCTCTTGAGCAGGTCAGTTTAACTAGCTGCTAATTTTTATTGTGCAGAAACTAAATTCAATTACTTTGCCATATTCTTTTTTTGGCTGAAACTGGAGCACGGTTTGGATTCCAAACCAAATATTGAGACAGCTGTTTGTGAAGTTTCTGAATCTCCTTGTGAATATTTCTCCTGTCCTGGTGCTTTACCTTATTTTTTGTGGCAGGGAGGATTGATTTAAGAATTCAAAAGGGAAGCAGATGCACATCCAATTTTTTTTCCAAAAAAAAATATAAAGGAGTTGGTTTTCTGTTTCTATCTCTGGATGTTCTCTGAGCAGTTCCATGGGATCAAAATCACGATTTTTGGGGAAGATAAGCTCATCTTACTCCTGTTGTTTTTAACATCCCTAGCCAGACCTACTTGTAGCACATTTTGTTTACTTTCCATTTGCTTTGTTTAAAGCCAGCACAGTTCACAAGCAGAGAAAGCAGAACTACTGCAGGCAGCTCCAGTTTCACAGAGTTACTATTGCTGGCAGCAGAATTGGCTGCTGGGGCCACACCAGCATTGCTCCAGCTGAAAAATTCAAATACCACTAAAATCTGCATCCCATTGGCACCTCCTGGGAGGCCCCACAACCCCTCCTGGCAGCCAAACCCAGAGCTCGTGCTGAGCAAGCAAAACACCTTCCCAAGGAACAAAAATCCCCGCTCTGTGCCATTTGCTGTGGATCTGAGCTTTCCAGGAACAATCCCACACTCTCCCTGCCCTGGGAACATCAGGGCTGATCCAGCCTGTCCTGATTTGGCCCCCAGGTTCCACTTCCAAACACAGAGAATTTGGGAATGCTCCCCCTCAGCTGGCCCTGCCTTGCAAGAATCAATTGTTGGTTTTTCCCTCCTGAAAGTTCTACAGGATCTTCATCAGGTCAGATCCTCCAGCTGGAATTTCACTGATTCAGATACTCTGGTAAAATGTTTAATTTTTCACTGCTGGGCGAGTCCTGACCCCAAAACTCAGCTCTCGCCCCTGATTTCCATCCTCCTTGTCCCAGCAGAGAGCACGGAGCTCCACCTAGTGTCCTCCTGCCTTCCCACGGGCTCTGAATCCTGTTCCTCAACAGAAACATAAAGCAATTCCAGCTTCAGCTGTCACCTTTACTAAACGCCCTCATGCATGGTGCCAGGGCTGTGGAGCAACCGAGTCAAGCACTGTCCCAAGTTTGGCTGTGCAAGACTTAGATCATTAGAAGTCTAAGCAGATAAAATAAGATAATTTCCCTTGGGTTTTATTCCCGAGCCCCATAACCAAGTTATTTCCCAAAAATGCATCCCTAATTCATCCCAGAAGGAGCCACAGAGAGCAGCGACCCACACCAGTCACACCAGTTTGTCCGGAGTGGGCTGGGCTGGAGAGCTCATGGCTTCTCCTCAGGACCAGAAAAGCAGGGAGCTGCTGAGGGGGTCCAGTGGAGGCCACAAAGATGAATCGGGGTCTGGAGCATGTCTCTGATGAGGAGAGACTGCAGGAGGTGGGCCTGGTTATTCTGAAGGAGGGAAGGCTGAGAGGGCATCCCACAAACCCTTAAAATATCCCCAAGAACTGTCAGAGGATGGTACCAGGCTCTGTTCAGGGACAGGACGAGAAGCAATGGCCATAAAACACAACGAGTTCCACTTCAACGTGAGGAAGAACTTCCTGCCATGAGAATGGCAGAGCCCTGGAACAGCTGCCCAGGGAGGGTTGGAGTCTCGCTCTGTGGGGACATCCCAAACCCACCTGGACGTGTCCCTGTGCCACCTGCTGACCCTGCCTGGGCAGGGGTTGGGCTGGGACATCGCCAGAGGCCCCCAGCAACCCCAACTCTTCTGCGACCTCTTCAGAGCCCTGCCTTGCGCCCAGGGACCTCTGTTATTCCGGGAAGGAGCCGAGGGGCATTGCCGAGGGGTCGCTGCCGGGGGCAGAGGCGGCTGCGCCCTCACGATCCCGACCGGCCCCGCCGCCATCCCTGAGGGAGCCGCGGCCGGGAGGGCACCGAAGATCTCGCGAGACATCGACATCAGCAATAGCTGCGGGGGCCAACATCTCGCGAGAGCGTGACTCACGGATGCGCTCCCCCCCGCGCGCGCGCCGGAACAGCAGCGCTCTCTCATTGGTCCGGCTCCCGCGAGCGCGCCGACGCTCCGCCAATCAGCAGGCTGCGCAGGGAAACCCTGCGCTGCGCGTGCCTAGCCCCGCCCACCTCCTCGCGCCCCTCCCGCCTTCCTTCCCTCCGCCCCCCCACACCCCCGGCACGGCTGAGGGGGCGCGCGGTGCACGCCGGGACGGCAGCGCGCGCCGCGGCCGGGAGGAGGCGGAGGAGCCAAGATGGACGCCGGGTTCTTCCGCGTAAGTGCCGGCCCGGGGGGCCCGGGGGGCCCGGGGGGCCCTGAGGGCGGGCGGGCGGCGCGGCGGCCCCGCCGGGGCACGGGGGCACCGCCCGGCCCCGCCGCAGGCCCGCGCTGGAGCCGCGCTCCCCCGCGCGGCCCCGCCGTGCCCCCCCGCCCCCGCCCTGCGCAGGCTCCTCGCCGCGGAGAAAATGGCGGCGGGAAGAGGCCGCGGCGGCGCGGCCCGGGCGGCAGCGCGGGGATCGAGCGGCTCCGGGCCGGGCTCCGCACGGGGGGAGCTCCGCGGGCGCCCCCGGGGCTGCGCTCCCCGGGCAGGCTCCTCACGGGGTTCCTCACGGTCCCGACCCACGCGGGGCCGTGTCACCGCTGCGGCCCCCCAGGCGCGGGGGGACAGCGGCCGAAGGGCTCCGAGGGGCCAGCCCGGGTCTGAGCTGTCCGCGCTCTTTAGTGGCCACGGCAAAGCAAATAAACAACCCTGCCCCTGTGTTTATTGAGATTTTTTTAGAGGTTTTTAAGTGTATTCATAGCAAAAAAGAAGCTAGGCTGTATTCATACGTTTGTATTTTGTTTTTAATCCTTGAGTTTCTTCTCTAGTCTTAGAGCTGTGCTGCATTTTTTGCAGAGACCATGAAACCTACGCCGGGTCTATTTCTTTTCGTCTTTTTCCTCCATTAATTGAAATTACCTTATTTGGGAGGTTTCCGTGATAATTTTTGAGAACCAATCTAAATTTTAAGGTTCATTCATTAGTTTAGCCCATATTATTTTAATTTCTTTTCCTTTTAAAGCAAGGCAACACACATAACCCCTCCCTTAGTTCAGCTCTGTGTTCATGGACTAACTTGAGAGAAATAATTGCAGATTAATTCTGCACTTGTTTTAATGCAGCTGTTAAAAGGTTTACAGTTGATTGACAGCAGGATTACTGGGGATGAAAACTCTGGATTAGAACTGTAATATTCTTTTAAACTGGCCTGGGGAAGGTGGCATTTTATAAAAACCAAAGCAGCATGGCACAGAAATGGGGCTGTGAACTGTTCTGGTTTTATTCTGGGTTCAGGAGGAACCAAATGTGAAATGACAGAAATGCAGCAGAGCAGCAATTTGGATTCCCCATACCAAGCAATTCCTATTTATATTTCTGTCAGTTCTTCACATTTCTGTGAAGTTTCAGTGCAAACTTATTTTGTTTGTCTTTAAACTCCTGCAGCCCCTTGCTCTGTCCTGTTTCTTTCCCTTTGCTGCTTGCCACGTGTTAGCAATAAGAAACTTCCATTTCCCTTCTGGGTTGTGAAATAATTTTAAAAAAACCCAAAAGGACATTGAGTTGTTGAGTGAACTGGCAAGTACTGTGGGTTGTTTTGTAAGCCACGCACAGACTGCAAATGTTGTAAAGAGTTTTAATCCTGGCAGTGCCTGTGCCACAGCCAGACTTTAGGATTCCCATGGTCTGGAATAGCAGCTGGGAATTGTCAGTGGATTGTTCCCTTTCAATACCTGATGACTTTGCAACGTGTTCTATTGCTAATTCCAGGTGCCCTCTGACCAAAGTGAACTTAGAATTTGGGATTTTCTCTTCTTTATTATCATTTAATTCCTTGACAATTTATATTTTTGCTTGTGCTGAGCCCTGTTGTTCCATTGAGACTTACCTGTATAAAATTCCCTGGTTTCCAGAATAAACTTCCCCAGCTGTGGGTTTGTCCTCAGTCAGGAGCAGCCCATCAGGACCTGGCTGCAGCCCTGCATCTCCTCTAATCCTGCCTGCTTCTGTTCAAGCTCTGCCAGTAAATTTTCCAGAACTGGACTCCAGGCCTTTCTCTCCATAGTGAATTAACCCACAGCTCCTGTCCATGGAAGTGCAGCCAGCTGGTGAACTTTTAACAGAGCAGGATCAATAAAATGCATTCTTTGTGCTTCTCTTTGCCCCAGGGAAGCTGCCCAAAGGTTTCAGGGTGTCACTGTAAGCAAACAGGACATTTTTGCTCCTGGACAGAGGAAGGCCACTTTATTTCTTTTATGAAGGAATTAATAAAGCCTTTTCCTGCAGTTTGATGCTGCTAATACTTTAATTTGTGGGCAGTGCTGGGGGGGATATGATTGAGGTGTCACTGTGGGGCTCAGGAGCTGCCCACCCAAAATCCTCAGCACTTGGTGAGAGCTCAAACTGAAAAGCACCTGGAAAGGAATAATTG